GTTATCTATCCATAGAAGATTGGCTATGTTAATACAATTGGTTTTCAATTTCATATATCAATATTTAATAAGTTGAATATTTTATTTTTGAATTGAATTTTTGGTTTTCAAGTATAAAAATTAACAATTAATAAAATAAATTTTTAAATTTTAAATTAAATTTTACTTAAATGAAATTGTATCATTTATGGTTGAAATTTTAATTTTTTTTAAAGTTCAATGTTGACATGCACCATTATCTATTTATTTTTATTATATTTAAAATCATATTTTTTATAAAAATAAAAATTATTAAATTTAATTTCAATATAGTATTTTTTTATGGGAATTTCAATATAGTATTTGTTACTATATATATAAAATGAAAATTAAGAACTCAAAATTAAAGTCATGCTAAACGAAGCTTGTAACTAATATGGGACGAAATATCGGACTGGATATTTTGTTGTGATTTTATACCATATAGTTATAGGAGAAATTAAAAGAATGAGATATTGTGTTTGAAATTGTTGCTTAAAAATGTGCCTATGCTCGCGCTATATAAGGAAAAAAAGTACTCTACTGTTCCACAATTATACTTATTTTTACTCCAAATTTATCTTAAATAAATTATTATTTTTTATATTTAAAAAAATAAATATTTTTTCTTACTTTACATCTATTATTTTTAATTATTTATTCTATCATCAAAATTTTCTTTTTTCCTTTTATCTACTTCTTAAAAATAATATAAGTAACTATGTAAATTGTTATATGTTGGTACGATCTCTTAAAGAAAGATAAAGAATCTCACGTATCCTAAAAATTACAAGGTTTCAAAAAAGTATTCATTTAAAAAAATTAAAATAATAATCCTTAAAAAGAGAGAGAAACTACTAATTGTCCTCATTTTTTTTTAAATAATATAAAATTTAATCAATAACTTAAATAATTTAATAATAATTTTTTTTCATTATAAATAAAAAAATTTTAAATTTAAATTGTATGACATGTGGATAAATAAAATAAAAATAAAAATAAATTATTTTTCATTGTACAACCAATATAAATATATATAATATTGAGACTAAACCAATATATTATAATCCACGAAAGTGCAGACGAGTGCTTGCGCACTCGGCAAACTGACCAAGTGCGTATAGCTCGCATATTTTTTTTTTAAAGTCAAATTAATTATAAACACTATTTTTAATATAATTATAACAAATTAACATCTTAGATATTACATGAGTATGTAAGAGTAATGTAAAAATAATTCCGCCAACTACACTCATAGTCCAATGGTAAGAGTTTAGTGATGTTGTATTTTGATATTAATTTAAATTTTAATATTAATATTATTAAAAAATAATTTTAAAATAATTTTTTAATATTAGATTTTAATATTATATAATATATTATTTAAATAATTAATTTTTTATTTATATAAATCTTATAATTTTAAATATATTTACTTTTTTAATAATAAATAAAAATTATATTAAAAAATAATATTAAAAAATTATCTTTATAACATCTTTCAACATTATTTCCTCTCCGTTTACACGAGGTTGAATAGGTGTCATGCATGACTGACTGAATCCAGTTGATTTGACATTGTCCGTGCAGATTTTACAGACAAGTGGATTAGTGAACAATTAGGAGTTTAGGACATACAATTGGCACAGCCGCACATGTAGGTCTTTCGTAAATAAGACTCGGGTTATATGTTTTTTTTTTTTTTTTTTAAACAGTAAAAAACTTTTTGTTATTTTTCGGGGAAAGAGAAAGAAACCTGAGATTTGATCTCAGGTCTCATTAATTTTACGTACGTCCGCGAGGGATGACCAATATGCCACCATGTGCGGGACGGGTTATATGTTGATTATAAAATGATTTCGAATCTCAATTAAATAAATGAATGTGATAAAAGTGAAAGCGTTATGTAACAGAGAAGGTAAAAATATATATGGATGAATTTTTTTATATAATTTTTATTTGTGATTATTTTTTTTTTTTTAGATTTCAACTGAAAATTATTGAAAGATTTTGATTTGAAAGATTTTGAAAAGATAATATATAACTTGTTTTTTATATAGATATTACAATATTATTGAAAGAGGTGGTCTTTAATTACAAGTTTTAGTGAATTTAATATTATATAGTTTGAGATATGAATATAAAAAATTAATAACTTATTAAAATTATCTATTTTTACTTGTATATTTCACTTATTTTAATTATATATGTTTTTAACGTGAGATTCCATCACAACTCCCAAATAAAACACTTTTCCCAGCAATCTCCCTTGTTCACTTTGAATTGTGTGATAAGTTCCCCCAAAAAAATAACACCATACACATATTCTTCTAAGGATCTTGCACCCCGGCGAAGCGTCTAAACTACCGTGCACCTACAAGAAACCAGCATGCTCCATCGTGGGCCCTCCGCTCTCCACGCCTGACGCTCGCACAAGTACATATATATTGTAATATGCAAAACATTTATCCAGCTTTTTGGTCCCCTTGGATTAATTTGTGTCTCCAGCTCCTAGTTTATCGCCCTCTATCATATTTTGTCCTTGGATTTCTTTTTCTTTTATCTTTATTTTTTTAATCAAATAAAAGTAGAAATATATATATATATATATTAGTACTATGCCTTCCAGCCTTCCTCTACATATAAAATAAGACTTACCCTTGAATTCATTAATTTTCTTAATTAATTCTACCATAGATGATCTGTTAATATATATATATATATATATATATTTTATCGAGATGGATTTACTAGCTTCTCGTGTTGCAGCTCCTGCCCATTGTTCTTCACACCCCATGAATATTTTATATTCAATTTACCAAGTTGATGGGCCAAAGCAACCCAACCATATCATGAAATATTAACTTGATATATTTATCCTTAACTTATCAACCCATTTTTTATATATATGAAATATGAAATCAACTCTGAAAATGTTAATGAAAGGAATATTCGTATAGGAGGAAATATCAATTTATTCTAATTATTAGACCTTCATAATACCAACAAGCTGGAATAGCTCAGTTGGTTAGAGCGTGTGGCTGTTAACCACAAGGTCGGAGGTTCAAGCCCTCCTTCTAGCGTTTATTTTTTAAATTCTCCCATTTCCTAGTTAAGCCCAAGAATCATTGCTTTGTAACAACCAACACTACCAGGCCTCTTAGAATGGATCACAAACATTATCTCCTATCATCATCATCATCATACACCTGAGCCAGGTCGGGTGATTGATTCTGTGGTTAAGAAATCAGGAGTTCAGGATAGGGCTTTCATGGCTATCTTCGGTCTCATAGAATACTTCACCTCAAGCCCAAATGAAAATACAAAAAAAATTCCACAATTGGTGGGGCCGGCCATCGGCAGCAGCCTGTGGTCTTTCTTCGCAAAGCTGAGAGCCATAACCAACTTCAGGACAACGACGTAAAACCTTTAAAATTTCAAAATTTTCTTCAACCACCGAAAGCTCACCCACAACCATTGAACCATATTATGCCTCGATAGCCACCAAAAAACACCTTCGAACACACATACACAGAGAAAGCGCGAAGCAGAATTCTTCCGAAGAGGAAAAAATCAATCATGGCCATGGCAATGGCGCTCCGGCGACTCTCTTCCTCCATCGACAAGCCACTTCGTCCTCTCCTCAATACCACCTCTCTCTATTACATGGTTTCCGTTTCTCCATGATTTCCTCGTGTTTTCTGTTTATCTTTCATTTTCGGTGTTGATTTTTTTTTTTTTTTCTTGGGCTTTGCAGTCGTCTTTGCCGAATGAAGCTGTTTACGAGAAGTCCGGCGTCACGGCAAGCTATATTTTGCTTTTGTTTAATTTAGGATTTGTTGTTTTTGTTTTTCATTTTTGTGACTGATTCGGACTTTTGAACTGGAATCCAACAGTGGCCGAAGCAGTTGAATGCTCCGCTTGAGGTTGTGGATCCGGAGATTGCCGACATCATCGAGCTTGAGAAAGCGCGGCAATGGAAGGTACCAAAACCATCGTGTAATAATTTTGTTTTTGGAATTATCATGTCTCTGGATCGATGAATTTCATTGGCTGTGATTTAATTTCATTTTAACATTAGCGGATTTGTAGACTGGAGTTGCCAAACTTGTTAGTTTGATTAAGATTCCATTTCTTGGTGTCTTTGTGAATGAATTTGTGTGCTTTTGAAGGGACTTGAACTCATTCCCTCGGAGAACTTCACTTCCGTGTCTGTGATGCAAGCGGTTGGGTCTGTTATGACCAACAAATACAGTGAAGGGTATCCGGGTGCAAGATACTATGGAGGGAATGAGTATGTTGATCGTTCATGATAAATTAAATTCTTTATGCTCATTGTGATTTTCTTTATATCACATACATGTATGTGTAGATGCTGAGGTGATGGGGCTTTCACTTTTTAGGTACATTGACATGGCAGAGTCCTTATGTCAGAAGCGAGCTCTGGAAGCATTCCGGTTGGATCCTGCAAAATGGGGAGGTGCAAATTTGTTTTCTTTTTTTAAAAAATAAAAAATAAAAAATAATCCATATTAGTATCTTTATTTTTTCATGCAAGTGGGGGTCAAAATTTTTTGGATCCTGTTTGTGTTTTTTTTCTCATACCCTGCTAATCAGTCAGCTTTACATTTATAGAGAGAATACCTGGCCTAAACCTTTTTCAATTGTAACTTCTCATGGATGCTTCAAACTTCAATAAATAGTACAAGTATAAAATTAAGGCACATAGGGTAAGTTTGAGGGCTGAATTTTATCTGCATCTGATTGCTTACCAGTTTTCTGAGTTTGTTGTTCCTTATCTTGCAGTAAATGTGCAGCCTCTGTCTGGATCTCCAGCTAACTTTCAAGTTTATACCGCACTGTTAAAACCTCATGAAAGAATCATGGCACTTGATCTCCCTCATGGTGGGCATCTTTCTCATGGTTATCAGGTATGTCCAAATTCCTTAGAAGGTCTTATCCTAATTACTGATGGTAATTGGATGTTAATGCTAGACGCTGTTTTCTTCAAGCATCATAACTGAGAAGTGAGAACCAAAACACAGTATGAGTTTACAAACGTTTAAGATGTGCAGTGCAGCCACTCTTGGCCTTGACAGACAAACTAGGGTTATCTCTTAGAATCCTGGTCTTCATCTCCAATGCTTTCTAAGCATTTTTCCCCCTTCCTTATAAGTGCATATGCTCCCAATTTTCCCTCCATTTTTTCTAGAACAGATAGTCTTCCTAAGTTTATTCTCTTCAAGGATCTAGGTCAGTTTAAATTCCTTGTAGGTTGAAACTTCCAAGGATAACAATAATTTGTGATTATGTGCTTAGTTCTGCTGTTTCTTTTGTGATTGTGCAGACAGACACCAAAAAGATTTCTGCTGTTTCAATATTTTTTGAGACAATGCCATACCGATTGAACGAGAGCACTGGCTATATTGATTATGACCAGGCAAGCTTAGTGGTTTTCTTATTACAGTACTGTTGCTCCCCATTCATGTTAGCACCATATCCATAATTGCCCACTATCTATTATGAAGTCATTCAATACCTAACGTTAAAACTTGTAATTTCAGTTGGAGAAAAATGCCACTCTCTTCAGGCCAAAATTAATTGTTGCTGGTGCTAGTGCTTATGCACGTCTATATGATTATGCTCGTATTCGGAAGGTAACCTCCATTAGAACAGTCTAAAGAAATATAACTGGGCTGTCTTACCTCAGGCATGGAATTCCTCATTATAACCACATTTTATGTTGCATTTATTATTAAACAGGTTTGTGACAAGCAAAAGGCTATATTGTTGGCAGACATGGCACATATCAGTGGTTTGGTTGCAGCAGGTGTCATCCCATCACCCTTTGAATATGCTGATGTTGTCACCACCACTACTCACAAGTCACTTCGTGGGCCTCGTGGAGCCATGATTTTCTTCAGGAAGGGGGTAAAAGAGATTAACAAACAAGGAAAAGAGGTAAGTTTGTGAAAAGAAAAGTTGCTTATGATAGTTGTGTACTCATTTTTTTTTTTTTCTGAAACTGAAGTGGAACTAACATTTGCACTTTGAGCTTCTCCTGAAGGTTTTGTATGATTATGAAGACAAAATCAATCAGGCAGTTTTCCCTGGACTTCAAGGTGGTCCTCACAACCACACAATTACTGGTTTGGCCGTTGCACTGAAACAGGTTTGTATAGTAAGATAGCTTTTCAGGTTAAGCAATGTTCCTTCTATGCACCTAAGGCAATATTCAACTACTGTGCTTGAATATCCTGCTAATTCTCTGACAACCCAGTGAGAAAATTTTTGTGTTGATAATGTTATAATACCATAATATAGAATACACAATCTTGGAGGAAGTATAGAGGAGTATCATAAATAATATTTTCATTTATCATTCTCTGCACAAAATTACCAAATTAGTTTGTCATTTCACCTTGATGTGTTTCATTCTCCTTTAAAGTAAGACCAATATCCATAGTTCGTTACTTTTCCATGCAGGCTACTACTCAAGAGTACAAGGCCTATCAAGAGCAAGTTCTCAGTAATTGCTCAAAGTTTGCACAGGTATGACTAATTTGGATGTGGTTTTCAAACTAGGAGTCACTCTTATTTGTGTTAAATGTATTACAGGATCTTTTATGCTTTCCCCCTTTGGATGTGTTTGTAATACTTTGTTGGAAAGAAAGAAAGAGCAATACATATGGGAGGCATGCCCCAAGTACACATATATGAGAATTGTAATTAATAATATACTCATCCATCACTAATTGGTTGAGATGCTCTATGGTGCTTTTAATTGCTGATAGCTTACCAATTTGCAGACCCTCATCGTGAAAGGGTATGAACTTGTCTCTGGAGGAACAGAGAATCATCTCGTTTTGGTTAATTTAAAGAACAAGGTGAGATGTTATTTCTCTTTATACTTGGCAACAGCACAAAAGCTTCACAATTCAGAAACTACGTAAGCTAAAGTTAGGATAATGCTAAGCGTTTTGTGAATTCTCTTTGCAGGGTATTGATGGCTCCAGGGTTGAAAAGGTGTTGGAATCTGTTCACATTGCAGCCAACAAAAACACTGTTCCTGGAGATGTGTCTGCCATGGTTCCTGGTGGCATCAGGATGGGTAAAGATTTTCATTAATAATGACAATGTTATGCACTTGTGCTCATATCTTGTTAACTTTTCTGATGAATCCAAATGCACTTCAGGAACACCTGCTCTTACTTCTAGGGGATTTGTTGAGGAGGACTTTGTAAAGGTAGCAGAATACTTTGATGCTGCTGTAAAGTTGGCAGTGAAAATCAAGGCTGAAACAAAAGGTTTAATTTTGTTCTTCATTAATATCCATTCTTTCATGCTGTGTGCTATATTTCATTCTGTCTTCATTTAGATCGAATTTGCCTCTTTTTTTTCACTACTGGATCTGTTGATTAGCACATTGTCTTGAATATACTGATTGGTGGTTTCATGCTTTGATATTTGTTAACCAGGAACAAAATTGAAAGACTTTGTGACCACTCTGCAGTCTTCTCACTTCCAATCTGAGGTTGCAAAACTCCGGCATGATGTTGAGGGGTATGCAAAGCAGTTCCCAACAATTGGATTTGAGAAAGAAACCATGAAGTACAAGAACTGATTACTCCATCCTCTTCCGTGAGGTACAAGACTTACTTAGACTGGATAATCTCTTATTGTTTACAACAGCAATATGTTTACCGTTCCTTAAAAAGGGACCAGCCTTTCCTACAGTTTTGAAACCATGTTTCATTCACTTTCTTATGTTCTTTGCTGATCATCTTTGTGTCTGGAGCAGGTATCTGCGTGCCAGTACTAGTTTTCCTACTTTGACAGCGGTGAATGATGAACGGTATTTAACTTGTTTGGTCACTCATGAAAGAATGTGCATTTAGAGCCTGTTACAATTACAAACAATTGGGATTATAGTTGAATGTATATATTAACTCCATGTATCTGCCAACGCTTTTCTTTAAGGAATAAAACCTCTACCAGATACCGGTTTGATCTGTCTGTCAGAATTAACTATTTTTCCTTCCCTTTCTTGTTAAAGACCAGAATCTCAACTTGTAAAACTATTTAAGCTTCCACCATTTGTTTGACGCTCGCTTACGCTTCCAACCACATCTGATTTTGCTTAGGTAAAATTTACTGTAATATCTCGATTTCACTCTTTGGAGAATCATAAGGAACGTAAATTTACTCATCGGCTAACTTCTTTTGGTCCTAACAACAATTGTTATTGATTTATTACGGTCGGGATTATTGTTAACCATAATTCTGTTAAGATCATTATCATTTTATTAATTTCTAACTTTTTTTTTTCTTAAACATTTAGTTGTAATATTTAAAAGTATTTGTTTATAAACTAATTTTAATATATGTTAAGATCATTATCATTTTATTAATTTCTAACTTTTTTTTTTCTTAAACATTTAGTTGTAAAATTTAAAAGTATTTGTTTATAAATTAATTTTAATTTATTAAATAATAAAATATTAATTATTTTATTAATTAATAATTATTTTTAATAATTTAATTAAGATAAAATTTTCATACTTTTAATAGTACTAACAAAATTAGTGGTGACAATAATTATACCCTAATTCGGCATAAATTTATGAAAATATCAAAACGGCTTATTTTCAAAGTTATACATAAAACCAGAAAAGGTAGTTTTAATACTTTTAGATTGCATGCACTTGACATTAGAGGCACAATGGCACTAGTCATTGAAAAGTGTATTTCCCCTTCTTTGAATGGGTTTTGAACTTGTCACATGTCAAAAAGTTCAAAAAAAAAAAAAAACTTTTAGATTGCATAATTTTATAATTATAATATTATATAAGATTATAAGTTTATAATTGTAATATATCATTAAATGAGTGGTGTATAATTAAACAAATAAGAATAGGTTCTTAAATAAATGAATTAATTATATAATAATATATTATGTTATAAATTTTATAAACTTATAATACTATATAATATTATAACTATTTCATTTTGTCTAAACTATGTTAGCAATGATGGCTTAATTGGTATTTGCTAAGAAGATTATTTTTCAAATTATTAACCAAAGTTTGACTATAAAAAAATTAATAAAAAAATAATTTTCCACAAATTTCTTAACCCATAGCTTGATTTAATATTTTTGATAGAGATTAAAAAGAATAATGGGCACGAAAGGTGATTTGAGAACACCTTACTATCAAATTTAAAAGAAGAACTCGAAAATATAATACTAACCTAATTTTCTTTATTTAGATCCATTAAACCTTGACCATCGTTGATAGGATTAAAAAAATTGGTAAACACTTTTCTTCATGTAACATTTTTCAAAAATTACAAAATTTGTAATGATATAGTTTAATATTAAAAAAATTTTATACTTCTATAATTATGATATAATATAAAATAAATAAACACATATATTACAAGTGAATTTTATTTAAAAATTTGTAATGATATAGTTTAATAT